GTTCAATAATGTTTATGGGATAATGTACGTGCGATTAAAATTGTGATATAATAAATCCACAATTATGATTATAATCCAGAAAATAATTGAAATAGAAACAGAGTACGAATAGCAAGCAATTACATAGGCAATTTATAGTCAAATTTAATAAGGGCACAACAAAGCAAAACAAAGGCTGATAAAGTATTTGCGTGCGTACATATATGGGGAGGAGTATGAGTCATCGAATGGTATTTAAGCAGTCAAGATTTCGGCTACAGTGTCATGTGCTCTAGTGGTATAGCAGTGCAAAGAATATGCAAATTGTTACTATCCAAATAACGATGTCTGTTAAGTAAGTTATAAAAAAGGGCTTAACCAAAATTGGCTATAATCGAAATTGATTGTAGGATGGTTGCTATAGTCTCACTGGATCACATTAAAGAGAATCAGATCGATCATATTTGCATCACTAAAAAATCTACAAAGTCAATAGAAAACGTGAAAACCAGGAGAGGAGCTGACGTAGCTTAGGATCACTGCTAGCAACTGGTGGTTGCCAAGATGAAACTGAAGCCAAAGAAGCAATAAACAACTGGACAAACTGCATTACAAAGGTTCAACTCAGCCTTCCTACAAAATACTGACGAACTCAACCATTTCAAGATAACTCTCAACAACAGGTTATCGGAAACGACGAGGCTGTCGAAAACTTTCCGAATAGTTGTTGCGCACAAAACAACAAAATCCCTTCATTCAATATTATGCAAACCAAAGGATGAAATGACAAAAGAAGACAAACCAAAAATCATCTACAAAATATATTGTGCCAACTGCGACAAACACTATATCGGACAAAGCGGACACCCCCTTCATCTTCGCCTGCACGAACATCAATTAGCAGTCAAACGCCACGACATATCTTCACTCGTATCAATACACGTGGACAACTACGGACACACATTCTACAGGAAAAATGTGGAGATTTTGGCAGAGGCAATTCTAAGAACACCAGAGAACTTTTAGAAGCTTGGCACTCAGGCCAATCAGAAACAAACAAGCACATTGAAGTCAATCCAATTTATCAACCAATCAAAAAAATTATGCAGAAACATAGGAAGAAAAATCAAACCAATAGGAGATACAACCAAAACAAAGGAATAAACAATGTCAGATTTAACGTCAATAAGAACCAATCAACATCGAGGTGCACAGGACAAGCTGTGAATCACATGTTCAGAAATTCAAACACTTCACTTCTACCCGAAGTTTTTGCTGATGATGTCGTTCAGAAGGATGATGAAAGCTCTAAACCAAACCATCCAGCTCAGAGAACAAAACTATATCAAAAACAACTTGAAAAAGATGGGCAAACAGTATACTTGATGTATTGTCTTCATAATTTACAAACACAGTGTGTGATTTTGCATTACACTATAGACTGGTTTATATTACTCATTACAATATCAAATATCGAGCAATTATATCTTGATAATTCAGAAGTGACGCCAAAGTCATGGACTAACCAAGGTTCAGTCACAGCTGTGATGAGTGAATTTAACTCGCACGCTAATATTCCTAGTTCATGGTATTACCTCCCAAGACTACTAGCATTGGTATATGAAACTACGAAATGAGACCTATCCAAACAGGTCTTCGCATCATTCGCTTCCAAGATTCGACTACTCCAAAATCCATCATTTTACAAAGATTATTTTTTAGCTTAGCTGCTTCCCCCCCTTTATTCTATCTTTGAGCGACATCTCAGATCATATCTAAATTTCGATTTTATTATGAATTTGAGCACTAGTTAACAAAAGATTTCATCACTTCTCTGACCTTAGGATTACCTTAAGGATTCTAGCTGGTTAAGGTTCAAAATTTTCTTCAGTCCTTTCACCTATTCTTGTCACTTGTCTGGTTCGAACTGCTATACAAATTTCTAGTAAGATGCTAAGAACAATAATCCAGACCTTTTAAAAATTATGCGCGCGTTTAAGGTTTTGATCGGGGTCGTTTGATTCTAACAAATGAATAACAACAATATTCACTGGCACCAAGCTCTTCCCTGACACGCCAGGGTTGTCTAGTCTCACTTCAGAACTTTGACGGAGTATTCTCTAACTCAAGATGGGGTCTACCAAACCCGTCTGCGACCTTTTTCTCCCTTCGTTTCTGCACTATCATTCATGTACAGTACCACAAAATGAATTTGAGAAGAACTAGAAACCTTAACCGAGATTATTCAAGTTGACATCAAAGAAAAATGCTTTTGAAGCAATAGATACATAGAAGCAAAGTTAATTCATAACAAGCATAAAATCACTGCTCTTTTTTAGAACGCGAGCCCGTAGTTGTTACTAACAAATAATTTCATGCCTGATGGTGTTAAGTCTGTTGATGCACAACATAAAGTAACCTATTCAGGATGAACCTAATAGATATTAAGAGCTACCTAGTAATATTAACCTTTCAAAGTAATGACGATATACTAATACAATATCGAGTTTCGGTTTTCTCAGCGTTACCGACTAGTAAACAAGACTATGTTGTTTAACAACAGAACTAGAGGACAAACTGAACAATGTGACATATCAAAAATGACGTAACTTGTGGTTTCGTTGGAGAATCAACAATTGATCTTTATGCTATGAATGGAGGGATTCAATTTGGCATTATAAAGTAAACCTCACTATTGAAACAGACAGTCTAAAAAGGTAGGGGATATTCATTTACACCATAATTTATCGATGTCATCCACATGGAAAATTTTGACAAGAAATAGACAAAGCTTAGGCCATGTAGTTTATGGAAAGTCATAACAGTTTTGTTTCAAGTTGGTTACCGGTATCTATTCACCGATTCCCGTCTCAAGAGGAAAGGGATTTAGAAGTGCAGAGCTATTCATCAAAAACACCCCATACAAAAACCATGTGTGGTCAGCCTTAAACACTAGTCAACTGGATTCAGTGACCACAGTCATAAAGATCGCAGCTAAAGAAGCTTCCTTTTCAGGTCTACAGAGAAGAAATGTCTTTCCATGATGTGAGAAACCGGAAAGTAACAACCACCCTCATGCCTATAGAACTCAAGATCACCTTATTCACGATCGTTTTCCATAAACGATTTATCATTTTAAATGAGCGGATCTAGTGCTAATTGGCTGACATAATAAATTGATACTATGTGGCTGATTGAAGACTGCTTATGAAGAAGGAATATTTACTAAAATCTCCGAACAAAGTGATGCCAAAACATCAAATCAGTAGAAAAAAGTTATTTGGTCTAAGAAGATAATATGCTAATATATGCGAGTAATCAACAGAGAAATAACACGAATAAATGTCATGAACGACTGAGAGACTCTGACCATACAGGTTATTTATTTGCTAATGAGTTAAGACCTAACCTTAGGCATAAGTTTTGTTTTTCACATAATGATCATAAAAACCAACAGAGCATAATGAGTGCGACTTATATCGGAAAAATTGGGGAAACTAAGTGGATTTGGGGAAGAATGCAGAACCTGTTTTCTAATCCAAACTACGACGTTTAAATATTGACCAGAAATGTTAGAGGTGAATCTGACCAAATCTCTACTGATCTGGTCATTTAAACAAGGAGTGATTGGTCCCCAAAAAGGTCCATTTACGGAAAAGAAATATGGGACGCCCAACTTTTACAGCTTCGTTTTATTAAGCAGAAAGAGGAAACGTATTCACTGTTTATGTTACCAAACAAGTAAGATCCATGACACTGAAGACATGGATAAAGGACTTGCGTTCCTCGGAGAAACGTTGTCTGAAAACAGTTATCCAGGCCGCTTCGTAAAGAACATAAGGAAAAGCCGGAATTCCTGTTTCAAAGAAATGTCTTTGTATGAATCTGAACTCTAAAGGTGACTGAAATTCCGATGTATTTAAAAACCCGTTAACAACGGGGATAAAAAGGATGTTATATGCATCAAACCCGAGAATAACATTCACCGGTTCTTGTATTACTAAGGGATAAGTCCCCTCGCCTTGTCAACCCTATGTATATCTACCAGTTCACCTGCTCTCGTTGAGTAAGGTGTGTGTCGTAGCCAGCACTAAGTTTTAACACAGAGATGAGAAAATGCCCCAGTGTGATTCTGCAAGAGTGACAGTAAAGCAGTTAGAAGTCCCATTCTTCAATATTTAATCGATCCCATTCACTCCGCCAATCCGCAGGTTGACTATACAATTCACTCAAATCTACCAAGGTTTCTTCGCATCCAAATCCTTAAAACAGCAGCTCTTGCCGCCCATGATATAAAGCCAGAACTGAGCCTACAGAAGTACATCTTATCCTTATCATGTCCTTAAACTATTATTATCACTTTAGTTCGTATTTGCAAATATTCCCTTCTCACTATAATTATTTGTTTCTGACATCACCTAATTTCACTTAACCTTCTTATTATCTTTAATTATTGTAACAACAGCATTTTAATTATTCATTCACATCAAAATCTGTTGATAACTTTAAAAAGCTTCCTATTTGTACACACAATCTTTCATAGTCATTATTTACACTGCAAATTCTAACATATCTATGACATCATCATGTTTATATATATCCTAACGAAATTCTTAAAAAAACTTCATATCGACACGATTGTACAGCTTGGTAACAAATTCTTTGAAAAGATATCCATTCGCTAGACTTTATGTGTTTTTATGTTTAAATGGAAACCGCTTATACCTTTGAAGGTCAGTCGCAAAATAAGGAAGTCTAACTAGAACTTGGAACAATTATTTTATAACCTAGAATTAAAGTCATTTTAACGAAGTTAATTTTATTCGCTTAACGAACTGGCATAATGAAGTAAAAATAATTATACCCAGCCACATACTTCCTCATGGAGATTAAGAGAACTGTCAAAGAACATAGTCGAAAACACGCACTACATAATGCAACAGGTAACACAAAAAAGTCTAGTAGGATTATGATGTATTGGTTTAGGAAATAATATAAATCATAACTGTACACTGGACAAATCAAAGAGTATCTCTTCGCCATTTTGATGAGCCTATAAGATCACTAAAGTGTCTGTTCTCAAATGATTTATTTACATAGTCATCTGCTTGTCCATCCACTTCAGTAGTGAACCAATCGGGAGTTGAAGGATGCAAATACGGTGCCTCGTTGTACTCGTCACGAACTACAACAGTTTGGGCAGCAATAAGTCTCTCTTCCAACATTTCTAGTGCTTTTAACGATATGACTAATGTGTCATGATGTACCATAGACCAAACATTTAAACTATGAACTGGCATTAATGTTAAACCTCTACCAGGATGAGTAGCTCGTGGAGCAATCGAATCAAGTTTGAATGCTGATGACTCCGGTGAAATTTCGCTCTTCACATGATTTTCATAGGAACCGCATGCCAAACTAATTGCTAGATTATCATTACTAAAGTTCATGTTGTCTGTTTCATTATTATCAATGTTTTCGCCTCCAGGACATGGAACTGCCAACTGACTTGCTGGAGAATGCCTTTTTTTAAAAAAAACAGAAAATGTTTGCATGGTGAATGATAAAAAATTACTGCTACCATGGTAAGGAAAGAAAAATAAAAGTAACATTCTATTTATACTAGTCACATATATCAAGAAACGATAACATGAAATTTCAAATATCAAAGCTACTTAAAGTGATCAAACATAATCAAAATTCTACATCAACGTATATTGGTACATGTAAGTACCAATATGGTAACTCTCCACTTCATTGGTTAACAAATAAGTTCAGTTTTGTTTTCCACTAATTGTAACTTTAGTACGTGCGCTGGATAAATATAAAGTTCGTGGGAAAATCAAGATTAGATAGAACTTTAAAACACAAATTACTAGTCACTATTCTTGAAAGAATAATTCTTTAGTACTTTAAACAGTAGAATATATACTATAAATAGGCAATTATATAGAATGAGACATGGATGAGCATAGTGGGTTAAGCAGCGATACTATTATGCCAAAAAATGTACATGGTAGACTATGGAGACGTTAGATCGAAATTCCCAGATTTTGTGTTGGCCATAAAAGAGAATATTTTTTCTTCTGAGTGAACAAAAGATTCGAAGTGTACTTAACATAGCTATGTAAACAATTGATAGTGCATCTTGTCCCTCACCTACAAGTTTATGCAATTGCTTTTAAGCTACACTTTTTTGTGAGATCACTAGTGATACTAACAAATTGCTTACGCCCACGTAGGTGCTGTGCTGTTCAAACTCGAGACACAGTAAGTGAAAGTCAAGTACTTTAAAATAAATAGTTCACTATCTTAACAGTAGTAATAATTACCAGTAATTCATATGTGTCACAGTTACGCTATTGTTTATGATGTTTGATAAACTACAAAAGAATAGGGATTTCTGAAAATAGTCATTTTAGTTTATCATTAGAATTCTTAAACACAGAAAAACGTCTAAAAAATAAACCACCACTTAGCCAGACTTCCAAAGCACAAATCAAAATAAAAAACTGAGTCAAACGATTCACCACATTACATGATGGTCATCATCGATTTGTTACTAAATAAGTCAAACAGGACATAACTCTTCAGATATACACAATGTTAACATAACGATGTAAGCTTTAATGAAAACAAAAATACTTTATCTATATATATATAAGGATTAATTTTGATTGTTAATGAGAGTTTCCTTTTAACTTAAACGGCAGTTTGTATGAATGCCCTGGTACGGCCGAAAGTGGGGAGAGTACGCTCTCCTTAAAATGCTCTCCATGGCCACACGTATATAGCCTCTGCCAAGGAAGTCCTACTCACTGCCTTCTCGTGGCACCGGTGTTGTTTACGAAATTAAGAGGACGAAAAGCGAATTTCCGGCGCTTTAACCGGGTTGGTGGATATGAAGGATCCACCTAGTGGAGTTGGATAACCCTGATTCCAAACCAATGGTGCACATGGCCTCCAGTATCCTGAGGGAACTAATGACGTATGAATCAATCATTGGTCACCGGCTACCATGGGAATGCATCTACTTACGATGCTCTACTGCCTTTTTGATTAAACCTTTAGGTCAAAAGCTCCGGGTGTGGCCCCTTAAGAAAACCACTGCTTCAGTTTCGGTACCTGGGCAGTATCACAGCCCTCACACAAATCAAATGAGATTTGTGCGGCGCATATGTAACTGGTGCCTCCTTGTACCAATATTTATGTGTTCAAATAATAATAAATGAAAGTTTGTATGATAACACTTAATGATAATGAAATATCTAGTCTAGTGATGATCAGTTAACATTAATGGTATCGGAATAATAAAACAAAAGAAATATTAGAAAAACCACTTAATCATTATAATAGGCACAACTTAGCAATATGAATGTGGGGACTTGTATGTACATTTGACTTTTAAGTTTAATCAATTATGATTCAACAGATTTTAAAGCAAAAGATTCTTAATAAGTACAATTAAGTTTAAATGGACAGACAATCTAATCAACAGATTTTTTCTAAATAAAGAGATTAAAACAATACCTTGAATTTTATTACCCGTTAGTGAAGAAAAATGGTCAATAAAACAGGTTTAATTGCTAGGGTCTTAAACATGACTGTATTCATAGTAATAAAGAAAACATGACGAACAAAACATTTGTTGGATTCAATTTAATGGAAAGGATAGAGAGTATGTGAAGTAATTCAGTTAGATTATCATAGTAGTATGATGATAATTATAAAAACAATCGGTAAGCAGTTGAGAAGAATATGCACAAACTAGGAAATGACGATATTTATGAAGGGGTTTTGTGGAGGTTTATTCAATTTTTAAGTGATAAGTGTCACAGACTGATCTCACTCCTGGTGCAACTGAAAAACAAGGAACACTGGAAAATGTTCATCTTAATATGTTTATCAAGTGTTCGCATGGTTAACGGACTGCTGCGAGACCACTGGTAGGGTTGTGAGTGAGCACTGTTAAGTAGATCATTACTATGACAAGAAAGTTATTCAGCCCACCCTGATTTCCAATTACAGCTCAAACGATGTCTACCATGATAAATACCATATACAATGAAAAAAAAAGTTGTTTTGGAATGGTATAGGATTGTCGTTTTTATCAACTGGAGACTAAAATGTACGTCATCATAAAATGAAAAAATATCCTTAGAGTTACTGGGCCGAGAAAGTGGATTAGGACTGGACAAATCCAATAGGTAGTAAATCTTCACTCCATTATACTTATCGAATAAGGCTGATGTGTAAACAAATGTTAATTGCTTTAGTCCCTATTAAGAGCTGATTAAGAGAAGAAAGTCGTTGTAGAAATGTTTAATTTGGTAGCTTAACCAATCATAGATACATCGAAGTTAGCTATCAAAGAATTAGGGAAAAGTTCTAAATGAACAATACAAGTACCCTAAAGAGGGAAATATGTAGTGTAAATTGTGATAAACACTTATATTTTAGGGTTCAAACAGCTACTTCAAGAAAAAAGAGGCATCACAGGACAAGGATAGGCACTGCCATCGATAAAACTTTAATTGTACATAATCAACGCAGTTACATCGCATTCTATAAAACAGTTGGAGTTATTTATTTATTTCTGATCAATGAAGCTTAAAAATTGATTTACATTTTATGATGAGAATTTCCAGGATTACAACTCAGAGAAATACCCTATGGAATGATATAGACTAAAGAACTACATGGAAATATATTAGATGACACTTCCAACTAGTTTTCAGCTTCTCGGAAACAGGTAGAATCGATCAAATACATGAGATTAATGTGATACCAACACAGTTGTCGATTAGAATCTGAAGTTTAACTTAGAACATAATCGAGAGCGTATACTGCTAATAAGTACAAAAATGTCCTAATGTAACTATTCGGAGGTTTGAAAATTTCCTACAAGAAGCTGAATAACGAGAACTTAATAAAATGATGAAAATTCAACTACTCAGAAGAGTAGTTCAATGTAAAAAAAATCATTATATTTTTCGTAATCTACAAATGAACGGGATAATAACTAAAGTAATAATTAGCCTCTAAATAATGGGATAGATGATCAGATGAAATAATATATGATCACTAATTAGAATTACATGACCAGTAAAATGATGAACAATGCGGACGAGTAACACAGCTGTATGGTCTTTGCCGGGATTTTAAAAAGTAACAGCACGATATTTGGATTCAAAGTTTTTTGCTAACTATTAACTTATATGATCTATACCTTATAAATATATAATGTAGATCTACACTTACGCATCGACAAACAAAATAGATGGACCCCAACAACGTAGATCTGCTAATTGACGAATATATATCGCTGCTTCATTCATTGTTTTAGTTAAACGATATTGACGTGTTTTATTTAGTGCAGAGAGTGGATCTTCCAAATCAGTCAAGTTAAGAGAAGCAGTTTGTGCTTCAGCTAAAATATTTTTAGCATCTTCTTCTAATGTTTTTGATAGCATAAAATCATCCACAATATGTAAATCATTCTACAGAAGAAAATGAATGAGATGAAAAGATTAAATTTAACAATTAATTTAAGAAGTTTTCAATTTAAAAATGGGAAATTTAAACCAACAAACAAAATGGAATCTATTTAAAGAGCATCCTATTCAACACTCAATTCTCAATTAATAGAGTCCATTTTGTGAATAATTTGAGTTCGAAGAACCTTTTTTCTTTTTACAATCACCAAAACATGAGTGTGGTAAGAGTTTATTCAATACATCTGAATAAACTTTCCTATAATACAAAATACCCATGATCAGACAAAACAAGAAGTCTTAGATAGAAATGAAACTTCGCCTGTAGCCCCTCCGGAGGCTACTGCCGGTCCCAAACCCGGATAAAGGAGTAGGATCGTGCATGGGATCGGTAACTCCATCCCGTAGAAAACTAACTTGCTAAAAAAGCTAATCAGAAAAAATTATTCAAACGATTTAAACTCTACCCTGGGAGTCAGAAGGTCTTTATTTAGAAGAGTTATGACGCCTCACGGTGAAAGCCGAGTTCCTTCGAAAGTCATGAGGCCGACGCTCCTTCTGACAACCAGAGAAACCATTTATCTGGGTACATGGGATGCTCGTACAGTGTGGGAGATCGGGAGAATCTTCCCAATTGCTGCAGAAATGAGGAGATACAACTTGGAGGTGCTTGAGATCAGTGAAACACATTAGACGTAAGTCGGACAACAACGACCAGCTTCAAGGTAGCTTCTGTTATACTCCGGCCATGAAGAATAAAATGCTTCACATACACAAGGCGTTGCACTAATGTTATCCGAACAAGCACAAAATGCACTTATAGGATGGGAATCTCATACACCAAGGATCACCAAAGCCTCCTTTAAAACAAACAAAGAAGGCATTACAATGAACGTCATCCAATGCTATGCCCCTATTAACGATTACAATGAAGATGTTGAAGACTTTTGGCGGCCTGCGTATACATCTAAGCTTCCTGTTCCTATCATCTAGACATTTCAACAAGTTATCTAATTTTGTTTGTTATAATACATCATTATGGCTATTAATCGCACAACCTATTCAAGTGCGTTTCTGAAAAGTGTACAATCTTTCGCTACAAAGGTTACAAAAGACCTAATCAGAGATATCGTGGTTGTTGGCAATATGCACCGAAGAGAATGTACATTATTTAGATGTCGATTGACTGGACTGCTAACTTCTAACTGGCGGCCACTCAATATTTATCGTCATTATCGATCAAGAAGTAAAAAAAACTGAAACTTGTTCAAATACTTTGTGCTAAGAATTCTATATTGTACCAAAAATATAATATTGAATAAAGCTAATAATAATAATCAATTCTACGATAGGCTGCAGTCAATCGTTGAGAAATGCTCAACAAAAAACTTGACCATTCTGATGGGAGATCTAAATGCCAAAGTCGGAATGGATAACACCGGATACGAAGACATCATGGGACTATATGTACTAGGAGAAAGGAACGAAAATGGTGAGAGATCTGTAAACCTATGTGCCTTCAATAAACTAGTCATAGGTGGCACCATATTCCCACATAAACGCATTCACAAAACCACGTGGACTTCACCGGATCACACTACGCAGAACCAAATTGACCATATCTGCATCAACAAAACGTTCAGGAGGAAAATAGAGGATATGAGAACCAGGAGAGGAGCTGATATAGCATCAGATCATCATTTGCTGGTCGCCAAGATGAAATTAAAACTTAAGAAGCACTGGAGAACATGGCGGACAACATCACAAAAGTTTAATACGGCTTTTTTCAGGATACTGACAAACTCAACAAATTCAAGATAGACCTCAGCAACAGGTTCCAGGCCTTCCATGATCTAATCACTGGAGAGGGAACTACTATGGAGAGCAACTGCAAAGGGATCAAGGAGAAAATCACTTCAGCATGTCATGAGGTTCTGGACCACAAGAGGCACCACCATAGGGAATGGATCACTGTTGATACACTGGATAAGATTGAAGAAAGGAGGAACAAGAAGGCAGTAATCAATACCAGCCAAACAAGAGCAGAGAAAGCCAAGGCACAATCTGACAATACAGAGGTAAACAAGCAAGTGAAGAGGAGTATCAGAACCGACAGACATAAGTATGTGGAAGATTTAACAATGACGGTGGAAAAGTCTGCAAGAGAAGGAAACATGACATAACTGTATGATAAAACAAAGGAACTCGCTGGAAATTACCGTAAACCAGAACGACTAGTGAAAGTAAGGAAGGCAAGGTAATCACCAACCACTGAACCCACCCAACATCGAAGTAGCACCCACGGACCTATCAATTGATGTTGGCCCACCAATGACTGACGAGATCAGCATGGCCATCAAACAAATCAAGAGCAGCAAAGCATCGGGACCAAACAACATTCCGGCAGGGGTACTGAAAGCAGATATAGGAGCAACTGCAAAGATACTCCACATTCTCTTCAGTAAGATTTGGGATGAAGAACAAGTACCAACAGACTGGAAAAAACGACTTCTGATCAAAATACAAAGGAAAGGAGATCTCAGCAAGTGTGATAACTACAGGAGCATCACTCTTCTCTCAATACCAAAAAAAGTCTTCAGCAGAGTATTTTTAAACAGAATGAAAGACTCTGTATACACCCAACTTCGAGACCAATAGGCTGGATTCCGTAAGGATTGATTGTGTACAGACCAAATCGCAACTCTGCGGATCATTGTGGAACAATCAATTGAATGGAATTAATCACTCTATATCAACTTCATTGACTACAAGAAAGCATTTGATAGCATGGACAAGACAACATATTGAAGGCTTCTTCGACACTACGGCGTGCCTGATAAGATAGTCAATATCATACGGAATTCCTATGATGGATTAAACTGCAAAATCGTGCATAGAGGACAGTCCACAGACTCGTTCGAAGTAAAGACCAGTGTCCGGCAAGGTTGCTTACTCTCACCTTTTCTCTTTCTCTTGGTGATCGACTGGATCATGAGAACGTCAACATCTGGAGGGAAGCACAGGGTACAATGGACAGCTAGGATGCAACTGGACGATTTAGACTTCTCAGATGATCTGGCTCTTCTGTCACACACGCAACAACAAATGCAGGAGAAAGCGACCAGTGTAGCAGCAGCCTCAGCAGCAGTAGGTCTCAACATAAACAAATAGAAAAGCAAAACTCTCCGATACAACACAACATGCACCAATCGAATCACACTTGACGGAGAAGCTTTGGAGGATGTGGAAACCTTTACATATCTGGGCAGCATCATTGATGAACACGTTGGGTCTGATGCAGATGTGAGGGCGCGGATCGGCAAAGCATATTTACAACTGAAGAACATCTGGAACTTAAAACAATTGTCAATCAACACCAAGAGCAGAGTTTTTAATGAAAATGTCAACACAGTTCTACTGTATGGGGCGGAGACGTGGAGAACTACGAAAGCTATCATCCAGAAGATACAGGTGTTTATTAACAGTTGTCTACGCAAAATACTTCGGATTCGTTGGCCAGACACTATGATCAATAACCTGCTGTGGGAGAGAACAAACCAGATTCCAGTGGAGGAAGAAATCAGGAAGATGAGCTGGAAGTGGATAGGACACACATTGAGGAAATCACCCAACTGCGTCACAAGGAAAGCCCTCACACGGAATCCTGAAAGCCAAAGGAGAAGAGGAATACCAGAGAACACATAACGACGAGAAATGGAGACAGACATGGGAAAAATGAACAAAAATTGGATAGAACTAGAAAAGAAGGCCTAGGACAGAGTGGGTTCGAGAATGATGTTCGGCGGCCTATGCTCCATTGGGAGTAATAGGCGTAAGCAAGTAAGATAAAAAAAATGAGCGAAATGCTTTCACCTACAGATTACAACGCAGGACTATTTTATACAGAAATTTCAGTTTCAGAAATCTACATAATTCATTTACAACAAAAATTACCTGTGCATGCTTTATAGACAACATTGATAATAAACCAGCAAGGCGTTCACTATAAGGGAGAAGATAGTAAAAAGACTCTGGTCCACGTGGGCCTTTACACTGTCCTCCAGTGAGCCATATATGAGTACGACGATTACCATGTCGAGCTTTCCCAGTTCCTTTTTGAGGCCAAGGCTTTTTTCTAGTTCCATAGGATAATTCTGCTCGTGTTGTTATACAACGCCAATCCTAGGAAAAAGATATTAAAAAATGAAGCTAACTCATTTAAAATATATATCAAATGATTAACTCATTTATTCAATACTTACATGTAAAACAGAAAAATAATCAGTATCTTCATAACATTTCACCTTAGTCACAAGAATTAAGAATTGTTTGACAACAGTTTAATCACTACACAGATTAATGGAGACTTGAATTTTATAGTTAATATCAAGGACTAATTCTAGACAAATAGCCAGCGAAAAGCAGGAAGCATTGAAAACTGTTTCATTTTAGTATGGGACTCCTCAGTAATGGCGGTCCACGACCCTACCAGAGGTCCGACCTAGGACCTAAGGTCTTGCGAGAAGCTGAAGTCCTTGGGTTCGGTCCCTGGTTGGGTTAAGGATAGGCACTGCTGAGTCCTACACAAGGATGAAGCAGTCGTCCAGTGCATCCTGGTTTTCGACTGTTTTTTCTTAATGTTAACTATGAAAATTTAGGTGAAACCCCAGATACAGGAAACCTCAGATTAATCGAATAGCATAAAAAACATGAAAACGAATATATATGATTCATATCACATATTAAAAATTGTATGTTTTCTTAAAAATTCACATCACAAGTCTCTTACACACTGATACATATACCTAGTTTAGACATTGTTAACGCTGATTGGATGACCTATTCAGTGTACAATGAACCGAAGAACCATGTACCTATTTATATTCGATAATTTTGATGTTTGGTTATATTTCCTTGAAAAAGCTTGAACCAGATTACCAGGCAAAACACTGGTTTTGCTTCAAATTCATTCGCTGAGATTATTCCTATTTAATGAACTTAAAGTTGGTTTGGCGGACTTTTAGTTAGATATATAATTTGAAGACCGAAGGAAAAGTCATCCATTACCACTAAAAAAAATAAGTATCGGTTCTCTAAAAAAAGGGAATACACGGTAAGTGTACACATGTGTGCAAAGAAAAAGATTTCAACTACTAATTAACTTACAATTAACCGATAATGGGCTTGCCAGTATAAATTTTTATGCACTAAATCAATACGTGGAAATACGGCAAATATATCTGGATGCAAATCAATCATGCCAAGTAAACTTTGAGAATTGGAAGATTTCGAAACGCCTACTGGTTTCAATGTTTCTAACCACGTTAATCGAGAACCACGAGAAGTAGCGGAACAGTAAACCGGAGGTTGCAGTTTTCTTGATGTCATAATTGGCTGGTTTGATGGTTCTGGACGTAGCTCATCAGATTTTATATCTATTTCTGGTATTTTAAATGGACGAGATGAAGCACTTCTTGTCAGAATAATATTATAATTATGTTTTAGGAAAGAATCACATCCATATTTTACCTGAAAATGAGAATAAAATAGTTGAAACGGAAACACAATTCAGTAAGTAAGAGAAATACTTGAGACCTTAAAATATTAAACAGAACTACATGTAATAAGTGTTCAAAAGAGTAACCATAAAGCTTATTTTGAACATATTAGAAAATTTTTCGGTACATTTTTAACTTCATGAATTAAAGGCTTATAATTTCTAAAATTTGAAAGATTCAGTATGGAGCTCAGTAGTCTAGAAGTTGAGCGTTTGCGCGCGAGGCCTAAGGTCCTGGATTTAATTTCCACGTGCAGAATCACAGGTTCAGGACTCTATGCTTAAATACTTCGTTGTACGAGAGTGACTGGTCCTGTACATAGTTTTAACCGACAGTTAGTAGGCACAACTGATCTAACTAATGGACTGGAATTAACGCAGTTGCGATGGATTTAAATACACCACTACAAGATTGTATTTCTATATGCCATGGAGTAACCAGATAAATTATACATTAAAATTAATAGTATTCCTTTGCATACACGCAAAATATTATATATGGTAGGGTAGAAGTGTAGGTAGGTCACTAAATAACTTTTGTGCACGAGAAATGTACAGAAAAAAAAACTGTCAAAGAAGCAGAATAGTAACTATATCTTGATTGGCAACCTTTCTATTAATCATTCTTGGTCAGACATTGAGTAGTTAATTGTTCATTCTATGGAACGAGAATGTGTCCAAATACATGGTCAGTGAATTATAACACTTGAATAACCATTATAACTTTACATGTGATAAAAATTCAACTCATAATCGAAGCTACTTTTCATGATACACTGAAACATTGGATCAAGAATTACGAAAATAAACATTAATTTGTTTTAACCTACTAGTAAGCTGGTAGTCTCACGAATATGAAAAACCATAATTAGCTTTTTATTTCTCCCAGAGATAATTACGAATAGAATGAAGCATGAAATCAGTATATGACAGGTGTGTATTGCCCAAGGATCTCACAGTAAGGCAAGTCTGAAATAATACGGAAAATATCTACGTGGATGAAAATTTTAAAATGCCTAGGTTTGTAATATATTAGAAATCTATAAAGTGGAGACAAGCAAAAGTGGTGGAGGTAAAGTGATACAATTCACTGAAATTATTTTGTCTATAGAGTAAAACCAGAACTAATATGTACATCTTTATAAACGTATTTATTGAGTAAGTACCCATGCGATCTAGGTGCCAATTGTAAATGACTAATCTCTGTGGGAAAATAACAGTAAGATTACAAAGCCAATAAACGGATATTGGCTAACACGCAACTACAAAAGTTACTGACTAACATGAGATGACCCCAAATGTTTAATAAGAATTATTGGAAAGCCTCTTGATTACAGATAAGTGCCTTCTGCAAATATCCAAGGAGGTTAAAGAGCATGTTTATATAGAATAATATTGATCTGTCACCAATGTAAACAGAGAATTTGCATCTACTCACCGTATTGATGACATATCAGAGTTGTTGGTAATGTTTAAACAAACAGTTACTGCTTTGTAAGGTAGTAGCCTTCTGTATAAATAAAATAAAAGACAGTTCACAATTTTATAATCAATGCCACAAGTGACTTTTTCAAAGTGTATTACTTGTGAAGTATGGAGATATCCATCAGTCAACCGAAAGACGTGTATACTACCAATAAGTTTGTCTGTTCTACTTTATGGTTGGGAAAATGGTCTATGAAAGTAAGATATGTGATGACCAGCTTTCGATCATAAGTATCTTTAAAACTGCTCACGTTCTGTGGAACAACCAAGTAATATTGAGGTTATACATAACGTGCTACGTAAAGGTGGCAAATCGGTTGCTGTTATCGCCAAAGTGACTGAACATGTCTAGGCACCATATAATTTGACAGACGACATTTTCTGGCGCCAAAATGCTCTGTGTGAAGGTTAGGGATTGCCAACTAAGATATAGCATTAGTTTATGAAGTTACTGACCATTTGTCTAAGCCATGTTAATGAAAACTATTTAGTTGGGATCAGTGCCATGACTGTGATCCGCGATTGGCGACGCTGGATGACATAGCACAGAATAGTTCGAAATGGAGCAGATCCATTCACTCTTCTTTGTCATCTAGATAATGAATTCCAGTACTTTTTCATATATACCTTACCATAGAGTCCTTTCGAATCATATTTCCAGTGTTCAGTTTTCCTCATTATTATTATTACTACATTATTACGATTATTTTTGCTTTACATCCTATTAATTTCATTTCGCTGTAGTTATGTGGTATGGTAACTTGGGTCGATGCACATTTGTGCCAGATCTTACGTTGGACATTATTGACTGACTTCTATATGAGGTATGGCAACTTGGACCGATGAATATATGTGCCTGGTCCTACGTTGTAGCTGACTGAACTCTATAACGAATAAGTAGCATGATCCGTCATTGCTGGACCTTGTCCTCACACACCATGAGGATGTCATCAACATTCAGCACCTTCCCCGACTAGCGAATAGTGATCACGTTGCATTTCGCTTTAAGTTTCGGACACATGATATACGATTAGTATCTGCTCCACCCCGTTTCAATACCTGGGGAGCTAGTATCCCGGCAATAAGAGACTGTGCTATTTCGAATGACTGGTCGGTCGATGAGGATGGATCGATCGAAGACGAATGGTTGGAGACTCTAGGTGATATGGCTCAGAATCGATCACAATGGTGTAGGTGTATACACTGTTCATCTTCCCTTAAACCTTGAGATTAAAATTGCTTCATACCTGTCTTCCTTCCCGATACTATATTCTTACATACAACCTTCCTCTTAAATATTAACACAACTAAATTAACTATTTCTATGAATTCGGTGTTCATCTTGCTGTACTAACGAGGTAAGGCAACTTGGACTGATGCATATATGTGCCTGGTCCTACGTTGTTGCTGACTGATTGAGCTTAAGGCTACATTCGAGTCCGTAACATCACCGTTTATCCCATGGTCAACACGTAAGCTACCACATTTAGCTCCATGGATTAATAAGGAAACCCGAAAGCTGTTGAAGCGAAGGAAACACTTTTGGGAGTATTTATGTCAACAGGACACGAATCATTTAAGTGTGAATACTAAAAAAATCCGTAATACATGTAACAAGACCGTAGCTAGATGCCGTACTATTTACGAAAGACAATTGGCATATGATAGCCGTGCTTGTCCGAAACGATTATTTTCGTACGTTAAACGGCGAATAAAACGTAGTAATGGTATTCCCTCGTTACTGTTACATGAAAATTCAGATTTACTAGCTATATCAGATCTAGCGAAAGCTGAGACTTTTTCAAACTATTTTAGCGAAGAATTATTTACTTATTTAAACACATATATATTGGTACAAAAGGGCACCAGATACATATGCGAAGTCTACTCCATGTTTAGTGTTACAAATCCTTGTCCCAATCACACCGAGATACCAGCCATAGGATATGTACATGTGACTGGAGAAACTGTTCTTCCACTGGTCACTAACCTCAAACCATGTAAGATACCGGGCCCTAATTGGTTACATCCACGGACATCATTTCAAGAACGCTAGCAACGCCCTTCAACATGTTCCTTTTACTCACTTAACCCCCTACAGATTGGGATGGTATAGCAAGCCCTATATTTAAGGATGGTCAGAGACAAATAGTATCTAATTACCAGCCTGTCAGTCTAACCATCATAGTCGTTAAGTTATTTGAAAAGATAATTCGAATTAAGCCACATAGATTCGTACAATCTGTTAACTCCCGAGAAACATGGGTTTCGTAACAAGCATTCATGTTTGAATAACTTACTTATTGCAAGAGAGGATTGAACAACATCCCTAGATAACGGCCTGGCTGTCGATATGATATTCATAGACTTTAGTAAAGTGTTTGACAAAGTTTCACACTTAGGTCTTATGCAGAGGCTCTCGAGCTTCGCAATAACAGGTGATGTACAGGGATGGATAGGAAACTTCCTATGTGACCGCAGACAGAGTGAGGGTCAATGGACTGCTATCCAAATGGAAACCGGTCAGAAGTGGTGTACCCCAAAGCACTATCTTAGGTCCCCTACTTTCTCTTCTCTACGTTAATGAATTACTGTTATTGCTTGAAACGTCAAGATTATTGTTTGCAGATGATGTCAAAATCTGGAAAACAATAAGAAGTGAGGCTGATGTTTATGATCCCCAAGCCCACTTAGAAAGATTAGTTAGATAAGCATGAGGTTAGTGCTTAGAAATTGATTCTCGAAAGAGTGTGCTCATGCACATCAGACACGGTTATAGTTGCCATTATACTATTGATGGTATATCTCTTCCATGAGTTCAAAAACATACACTTAGAAGTAGTAATAAGTAACGACTTGAAAACAACTACGCATTGCAACGCAGCTGCTGAGATAGGTCATGGTGCGTTATGGTTACTTCCTCGAGCATTCAAATGCCATGACGAGATGTTACGAATTTTATATCTCACCTATGTAAGATCACACCTAGAGTACTGTATCCAAGCGGCTAGCCCATGTCTGACTAAGGACAATACCTCACCCGACCGTGCTCAGCGTGTGGGGACGGAATTAGTGGAGGGTCTTTTCAAACTCCCTTATGAGCGCTTACAACGCCTTAGACTTTTCCTCTTGTCGTATCGTAAAATGACAAAATGACGCGTCCCGGTTTGGGCACCCGAGTAGTATCCTATCCCTTACATAAATCGAATGATCTATGTGGAGCATATTTATTTGGTGCCTCTTTATACCAGTGTTTGTGTTTAAATATAAATAGAGGTGACCGTATACTGGCATTTCGTGCCTTTAATTACGATTTGAATGTTAATAAGCCTTATCTTCGCGCTCCCTTCAGCATCAATAATCCCTAAGGCCATAACAAGAAGGTTCACAAACCGCAATCTAATAAACTTAAAGTGGGGTTCCGTTTTTCTCGAGTGGTCAATGACTGGAACACCATACCCGAACAAGTGGCATAACTTCATCGGTGAACATTTTCAAAGAAAAGCTGGACCTTCACTGGAAGGCAAACTGTCAGGATTAACACAGGCCCATTAACCTACTATCCTTAATACTAAAGACTGAAGTTAACAGGTCGCAACTCACGCATCCAAGAACTAACTTTAACTGTTTGGAAGTTGAGGAAAGGTTGACACCAGGGACAGGACATAAAATCGGATAATAATTACACCGGTCAAGTATAGAAAATATATAGTCAAATAATGTTTTTTGACACCTGGACTATGACTGCCTTTCTTGAGAAGCCTAAAGAAACTGGATTAGAATCGACAATATGGGTCTGTGAGCGCAAAAGGAAGCATATCCGTATAACCATACTTTCCTTTCCTAGACAGATAGAAGTAAGGTTCCTAGGAGTTAGAAATACAACTAACATTTATTACCATTGATACATGGATAACCTGTAATTAGGACATTCGACTACTACAATATACTACTAAAACATTGGGGAGGAACCTCATAAAGACCGCAAAATTTATTTTTGATACTGTACTTATTTTAAGGTTGAATTTACTATTGACAACATGAGAAACCAAGTATCATTAACGCTTCTTAAATGTCTCACCTCAAAGTAGACAAGTGTTTGAATTGGCTTCGTATTTTTCAATGAACAATCGACCGTTGTTGTGTTTAATACATCCAGTATCTTTGTCACAAGCTTGTATAATTAACGTTCAGCCTTTCGTAGGTTTGCATCCAGCCCAAAGATATCTTGAGTGCTGATGGAGTGTGAGGGGCAGTATGTGGAAATATCTGAAAGAAGAAAAGTTAGCAGACGGCTAAACAAGCACATGGAATGCAGTTACGTCTAGTGATGAGAGTAGTCGACAACAATTACAAGCAATACAAATATGAAATGGAAGCA